CGCAGTTGGGCCCAAATTAGTGATACCATAGCCTATGAGATACAGTGAAAAAATTTAGCAATATTCATAAAGACCGAACTGTTCCGAGCTGCTTATCACTAGATACCAAAGTTCCTAAGCAAGAGGAAAAGAAAATCAGCGTCGAAGACAGAAAGCCAATTTGAAGTTTCAAGAACAATGGATGGAATACTTTTGAACCAGATAGTTTAATTATATTGAATATTTAATTCACTTGATAAACCCATCTCATGGTATTCTTTGAATAACTCAACATATGCAAATTGGCGTCGAAAGGAGGAAAGGAATTGAGAAGAAGACAGATCGGAGGGAAAATCAAAGGAAACAAACTTCCGACTACTTCTTCGCCCCGGGCAAAAAAGATATATGAATGGTTTCTGTGAGACAATGTCGAAGAAAAAAGCTGCAGATAGCTGTTGTCATGTATCGGAGTTTCCCGCTACCAGAGAGGGCCAATAGAAGCAACTAGGGCTTCCGTTGTACAGCTTGTTTCTCTTATTTTCAGATGACTGACCAGCGATTTCTCAAGGCTTACGAGAAACAGATATATGATTTCAGCCATTGTTTGTGACGCCAACGATAGAAAAATTCCATTGGTTTATTTCTGAAACAAACGAAACCAGTCTCTAAACGTGTTCTTTTCGGATCTATAGGGATTAGAGAGTGCAAACTGTAAACGCTCGCAGTGGCTATGGAAGAAACAAACCCGAATGAATGCAATGCAGAGCGTGATTATACGGCTGGGAAATTCGATTTTTTACACTGGTTGACGGATTTATTCCGCCATAGATTCGTTTTGATGGATGGTGATTAGAAGAATTTGTGACGGAAATGATGAAAGCAATAAAATAATTATAAGAGGGATCATTTCAGTGGGAAGACGGCGGAATTGAGCTCAAAAGGAGTGAAAACGATGTCCAATTGGAATGCGTGCCTCGTCAGCACTGTTGCGGGTGTGTGGTGAAAACAACAAGTTGGGATCCGCAAATGCAAACAGCAAGCACCGCCGCATCATGATCAACGGGTGCTGTCTCAACCGGGCGAATGGGACAATTTTGTGATGCGATTAGAAGCCCCGGGGGCGGTTATTCTGAATGCATAATGTTTCCAGCATAGGTAATTCTGGTATCAGAATGGAATAAATGGAGTTATTTAGGGATATTAATCGATAAAAATATAGAACATGAAAGAATGTAGTTGGAAAGATAAAACTCAGATAGGATGAAATACTATGAGAGAGAGAAAGGTTGGTAACAGTTGTACAGACCACGAGTTTGTAAATGGTATAAACTTAGTATTATTAACTGGGAAGCAGGTAATGCCAAAATTTGCAAATGCTTACCACTAAAGTGAAGCGAATATCATCCGGTTGAATTTCACGTAATGTTAAATATAATAGGCTGCCAAAGACGTACTGTGGTTTTAAATGAAATACCACAAACGGACTGTAGTTATACAGTTCAAGCGATTGTTCAGTACCAGCAATGTAAAACCCTTTTGGATATCGTATAATACCTAAAATTTTACATCCATCTGTTGCTTGTGGATATGTTCATGCCGCCCTAGTGAGCTTTATTAATGGCCGTGCCGATTTCTGGTTATTTTTTGTACTTAATGAGAAATTGTTTATGAAATAACTTTTGATACTGGGACTAGCGAATCTGGAATCTCATCCTCCTACAAGAGAAGCAATTATGGAGAAAATCTAATTGAATTACCGATGAAAAAATACGAAAGCATTCTGAGAAGTTTCTTGCAGTGTTCAAACTATTTAGGAGCATTAGTGAAGTAATAACGCCCGCAAAGCTCTTTTCGCCGTACAAAGCTAAATATTGCAAAGCTAAAAATGGGCTCAAAGCATACATAAATATGCTGCAAATATTTCGGCATACACCGTTTCTGGTTTTCCGAAATGTTCCATACGGTGGTCAAAGGAAAATCGTCATATTTTATTCGGTCCTTACTAATGGGGCTCAGTAACCATCTGAAGCAATGCAACTGTGGAAAGTAGATTTTTCTATGCTCTCGTTTGTACTGTGGGAGTCTTATTCTCAATTCTGACGTCATTTTAAATTAGACAAATATCTCAATCAATATGAATCGCTACACAATGTGTATTCAATTGATAATCTTAGTAGCTAAGATGATAACGGCATTGATAGCAGTTGTGTTAATTTAGGATGCACCCAAAAAATATCATTCAATAAATTATGATATCGACCAAAATTAGGAACTTTTGTCTGCTCTGGATGATGTCACCGAGCATGAGCTATCACACTATCATTAAACACATGGAGAAAAACCTCCTGAGTAATTGTTGTTTACCTTATGGATACATTCTGTTACAATGGTAAATTTGCCAGCTGGTTTTATTGTTTCATTTTTTATTATTCTTTATTTTATTCCCGTAACCCGTGAATATACTAATACCGGTAACCGTATTTTCAGAAACGCTGAATTTCCTATTGGTTTACACCAGATTACTTCGGATGACCACGGGCTGTGATAGAAACAGAGACTGAATACACGCCATTAAAGGTTGTGAGATCCCAACATACAAGTGGTAGCATTGTTCATCTTGAAAAACCGGTGTGTTGAAGCAAACTGATATAATAGTCTCTGGTTTTCTTTCCATTGTCTATCTGTTTCACTCACGCTCACACCTACTCGTATTCCTAGCTTCCTCTGTTTTCATTTACCTCACATTTACTCCAGAACAAACACGTTCCCCAATGCATACAAAATACTGCAACCAGTTCAGGAACGTCGAGATATGGAAACGGAGTAGACTGACTCTTTTCAGTATTAAGACCAGGGTACTAATCAATGATCAAAAATGCGGCTACATTTAACAACCTTCAGTTTGAATATCAGATGGGTTCCTAAGAATGTATTGCCAAACATTCTGCGGTGGAGGACAAATACCTTGATCTTGGTGCCGTGGACTAACTAAAACCAGATGGAACCAAGTGCAATTTGACAACTCAATATTGTCCGCGTACATTCTCCCACTGTCAATTTTCTCATAGTCTCATGAATAAAAAATGAAAAACGGGAAACTGAAATCTGCAGATATGTTCACTTTAGTTCCTCTATTGAAATTGAAAATATGTCTGAAAATTTTCCACGTTCACGTTAATATCTTCAATTTGTTCAATCATGATATGTTTTGATGAAAAACATTCTTCGTGGCGATAATCGCTTTAAGTTGGTCTTAAAACATCAGGNACATCAGGTTTTGTTTTCGTTTTGTTTCCTTTCACTGAATAAACAATGATAAAATTGCAAGGAAGAGTCAGAGCTGTCAATCAAATGGCTGCCATGCATAACATAGAGAAAGGGGAAAATTAGGCGGGGGTAATAGGATCCGAACCCTTGTTCATTGTGGTGATACATTGATGACCTTTACCACTCGGCTGCTCTCACTCTTTTAATCCAAACATAGATGAATACGAAAAGCATGCTGAACGCGCAACAAATATGTAATTGACTGTAAATAACAGTTTTCATATACAACATTCTGCGTATATCGAAAAATCCTATTCATTCTAGGGGAAACTTATACAGACAAGAAGGATGGTTCGTATGATAGAAAATTTCTATGTATATTCAAGACAATGACATACGTGTTCTTGTTATTTGTTCTTTTGCTCAATAAGAATAAATGGTAAAAAACTTCTTTGTTTGAAGAAAAAATAACGGTTTCACAAATAAATACATTCTCAAAGCCGAACGAAGTTATGCATAATTTATCGTCGATCTACAAGCAACGATATTCAGAAAATCTATAATATTTTGCTTTTGCTGATTGAGTGAGCGATCGATTTGTATAACATGCCGCTGGCGTTCTTATTTGGGAATTCCGAAATATATTTCTGAAGGACACATTAAATAAAAAAAACTATCAGGTTTAAAGAATCTAAATCGATGCCAAAATGTTCAGATCACCACAGGATCGTTTAGATCTAACCAGAGATACAGACGTTTACCAATCTCCTAATAATAAGACCCAGTCCTCTGAATGAAACTGAATGAAGGAGATACCAAAGGTGTCCTTATAATATAGCATCGTTATTGACTTTTGCTCTCGGGTGAAAACAAAGTAGCATGATATAATTCTCCAGGTTACATATGGTGATTATGTGTTGTGAATGATGCTTATATTTGCAAGCCATATCAAGTTTAAAACGCTCAATGAACACCATCGTAAATATTAAGTTGTTCTATAGACATAATATCCCCAAGATCACACCTGGAAGTTTGATAATTTCATTCAATGAAGCCAGAAATAGCTCTTTAGTTCAAATAAACTGTGTAAAGTATACATAGCAGTTACAAACGTCACAACACAACGGGGACTTGGAGGTTTTGATGAAAGTACAAATGGTTCTATGATGAACGATAAAATTTCTGGGGTTTGATGCAAAATTTCAATATTCGATCATTGATAAATCACACTGAATTGAGTTTACTATTTTCATACAAAGAAGGAAGATTAAAAAAGTGGTATAATTTTCTGAAAAAAGATCCGAAAGTACCACAGATAATTCACACAAATAAACATAATTCGTCCATTCTTTTCGACAAGGACATTAGAGGTATTCATGCAACATGTGAAGTGGATACCTTTCGCTGTGTCCCTGATAAGAGGTTCAGTGATTAAATTCAATTGTTGTATTTTAAAAGAGCACTACAGTTTGCCACGGTAACTAATATATGGGAAAAAACAAACGATCGCTTTGAGAGCTTACCGTGCTGGCTAGATAGTTTGACAGGCTAATGATAAACTGGATATTCATTAAGTTTGTGAAAGCATTAGTGCACGCCCTAAGGACAATCTGACATTGTGAGATATGAGGGGACTTAGAAGTGAACAGATTAAGCATGCGCCTTGGGAAAAACCAAGTTAAAACAGATTGGGTGCATATGAAAAGGTAAAGAATGATTGCATCAAGAATAAATGGGTTTCTTCATTTTCCATAATGAGTGTATTTATTCTCGACAAGTGCGCTGTCTATGAACATGGTTGCAGTATGCGACACAAATCGACAAGTCAGGTTGCTTGCAAACACACCACAGCCAGTTTTGTTCGTAAGTGGGAATAATTAAGTAATGAAAAACAAGCCATGAAACTTCCCATTTTGACAGCTTGTTTAATTGTCAGTGATCGAAGTACATGCTTGTTTTTGTTTTTTCTCCGCTGCCCCCCACCCCTAACCATTGCTTAGAACGCAGCCTTTTAGGCTGTAACAAGCAGGTGGTGCGAGAATGTCGATCTGCCTTGCGAACCGTGAATGATGGTCGTTTGGGATTGCGACATTGCACTTGCGACGCGAAACCCAGTCGTTCGATCGATGATTTGTCCAAGTGTAACCTACTGAGACGAAATTTGAATAGTCATCCGTGTATGCAAGAACCGCCATTGCTATTTCGAGAGGAATCGGAAACGTGGCAGGACTTTCCGCTGGTGGAACAGAAACGGTTTCAAAGCCCAAACACCGAACCAAATTTGAACGGGCAAAGACCAAACGCGGGAGGTCCGGACAGGTGGGATCCCGATTCGGCAACAGTCAATTTGCCAAAACGAAAGGATGAAGGTGAGTCAATGTTTGATGGTCATGGGAATGGATGAAATCAGCTCAAATGAACCCTATCCTACTTCTCAGTGTGGGTGACAAAAGTGCTTTATACGGATCCAAATTTCTCAAACATTTTTCTTTGTTCTCTGAAAGATTATAGGTCATAGTTTTCACGATTTAAAGTACTATAACTTAGCATTCTGGTACCGTGCTTTATGCTTATATTTAATTATAGAGAGATTAAGTTCACTCGTTTCACTAAGTGGAGCACCAACCTCAGTTATGCAAAATACTCAATACCTGATCTATCAGTTTATATTAAAATTTGTTTTGTCACTTTAAAATGCGATACTTGATTCATGCAAACTGGATTAATACAGTAGTAACTTATTGATTTTTTATCTCCACAGAATCCAGCTCACTACTTTATGCACAAACTGCGCAAAATATGACAAACGAAAGAACAAATACTCCAAACAACGTTTCCAACAACCAACAAGTGTTCTTGGTCAATCGTCGCTCGAACACGTCTAAATTAGAAGATACAGATTCCAATTTGACCCCGGTGAATACAACCCAGGAACCACGGAGAGACACCAAACCGCGTGAACGGAGTTGTTTGGATTTATTGGAGAAATGCACTAGTCATTTGCCCTGTGCCAAGGCGCTTAATAGATTTCGGGCGTTGTGCTCTCCCAGGTCATGTGAAAAGCTGAGGTATGTTGGATGTGAGGGACGGTGGTCGATGCAACTCTCAGTTGTAATTTATCATGTGCAAGCTCGCGGAAATTCCAAAATGAGTTCACAGCACCCCATACACAGAATGTATTAAACCAACGTTAATAAGATGATCTGGAAAAGAATTCACCAAAAACTGATCCCATCAAAACGAAAAATATATTTGTTGAGTATAAAGTTTGATCCAAGCTGAGTTGAAACCACAATCTGTATAAACGATACGGAGGTTGAAATAAACGTCCAAGTTTTACCAGTTGTTCCACTCCGGCATAGCTCTTATTCCCAATTGTATCCTCAAACTTTTGTTGCTAAAAAACAGTTGTAAATTATGTTCCCAACTGGTTTAAGGTCTTCACGGTTCCGTAATGCATTCTTTTGTGGATTTGGACAAAATATAAACATTTCCAGTTGGCTAAGGTAAAGTGATCACTGAATATGCAAACAGCTTAATCAAGTCATACAATATGGTGCGTTGGTATATCCCAAACCTATGGCTCAGTTTATATTGAGAATGTTCGTCAAAACAATTAGTTAAATACTTGTGCAAAACTTGCCTTCTGATGCCGTTCGTTTGTCCACCATTTTACACTTCTAGCGTTTTCGCACCCCGCCCTCATATAAGGTTTGCTTTAAATGCATGGTAGGAAATTTTACTTTTAGTGTGATTAAATCCCTTCTTGAATATTCATCTGTGCACCTAAAGAAGCTCGATTGAAAATAGTTGATAGTAAAATGGAATTAACTGGGATTGATTAGGTTCACTGAGCAGTGGTTAAGTTCAAGAATTCACTACAAATAGAAAAGTTTGTTTTATTATATTCTGAGTCTACCAGCAATATCACGGTACACTGTGCAACACAAGAAGAAGCACGTTTTTCGATCATTCACAGATATCTGAAGTACATGTATCCAGTCCCTCCTCCAGAAAAATACTTAACAACATTGATTTTAAAACGATCTCTTTGTGACTGGGTTTGTCGCGGTTCTGTTGTAGAAAAACACTCAGATGCAACAGAACTACTTGTATTTGTCTGTCTCTAAATGGGGTTTTGCAGATTACTATTCAGTTTATTTAGTGTACTTGCAAAAAAATACTGAATGTTCTGTTTGTTCTTTCCGGACCGAATCAAAGATTCCAATGCAATCAGGCTTACAAAGAATTTCAATCCCATGGAGCTACAAAAAGTTGCACTTGTGACTCAGAGGAAAATTCGAATCGAAGGCAACGGTGTTTGGACTACGAAATTCGAATTTTGCGAAATAAATGCGTTGGTAAGTTGTTTTTCGACCCCAAACAGTACCCCGGGAAAGTGATGGTTTCTAGTATCTGGAACAGTTTGTTTTTACACACTCCATTGAACATGTCGAACACAGGCAATGGTTAAATGTTAATTATTCATGATTAGATCATATTTGTGGTCCCCTTTAGGTATTTAAATGTCGCAACGCTAAGCTAACGCTAATGCTATAGGTCATTTCTTTTGTATAAAGTGCTCCTGCGTGTATGCACCCAAAGAATTACTCAGATTTTCAATATGACAGCAATGACTAGTTTCCAATTTGTAGTTTCCGAAAATGGAAAAAATAAGGCTAATACTCCACCGGCATAAAAATATAATGAATCAGTCTCATATACAATAATGTAAGGAATAGTATTTTCTTATTGCTCAATCAATATTTCAAATATTTAGCCATTTCAAACACTCAGTTGTTGACTTTATCCTGTTTTGTTCTATAATTTACCGAAATCTAAAATGACGGTTCGATGCAAGTTATGCATCCAATTTTGATATATAACCACACAAAACGATGGAAGTTACACGGATTCGGTAGCAAACAATGACACTTAAATGCACATGAGATAATGTTCACATTTGTTGGTTCATTGCCACAGAGTATGTACCGCAGTAATCATGTTATGTGATGCAAAAGACCAGCATTCATCTTTCCCCTTTCGGACCACGTGTTTACCAAAGATGCTGAAGATCACAGTGTCACTGCAAGAATAGGTAGATTTGTCGTAACCGGAATACCCTCTGGGTATTTAGCTCTCATCTCATTGGGCTCAAAGAATCATTATGCATTTTTTTATGGTAACGAACATCTCCAATTATTATTGTGATCTGTTCGATACAATAAATGTCCATGCGTAACACACAGAACTGGTAACGTGTTTTCTTCGAGTTTTCAAGTTTTGCAATATTCCCGGCTTTTTTACGATAAACCGGATGACTCCATTCAACGCTTGTGCCAGATAGGATGGGGCGATAACTTTAGCTTTCAGACAAGGTTCATTTGCGTCAGTTGGAGGATAAATAGCCATCAAACGAGCAGATAATTAAACGCGTAGACATTACGTGCAGACAAAGCCTTGTCGTCCGCGTAAAAATAATTTTTTCACTTGTTGAACCAAGAAACGTGACTCGATTCAGTGCGAGTCAGTGGAATGAATTGTATTGTCAAACTATCCAGTTATGTTTGATAAACTCAAAAAACTTCTCAGGTAGTGTTTTGCTATTTAAACCAACTTGTTTATTCATAGGACATACAAAACGGAAAAGACAAAATCAACAACCAGCCATCCCAAATATCTACCTTTGTATATGATAAGCACTCTTTGCAGACAGGACAATTGCATCGTTAAACCACGTATACATAATAAAACACTTTGGTACTAAAAACAGAACACACGTACTCTGAAATCGTAAATTAAAGTCGAGTACAAAGGTATATCGAAGTATTGAGCATGCCTCATTCATTGAAACTCGCACAAACATGAAACCGTTCAGCACACAGGACATCAGGGCTAGGGGCTGATGTTTGAATGACGAATTTGTGTTAGTTAAAGAACCAGTTATAACTCTCTACGAGTACAAACTTTCAAAATACCGTTAAGAATCATTTTGTCAATAAAAAGCTACGCACTATTTAGTATTTTGTTTTATTGAACGAGAAAGATCACTCCGTCGGGTGGGTACTTTTCATTTACAGGCTACTAAGTGAGTAAATCAGTAGATCGTTCCCAACGGCGAGCACTGACCTGACGGAATTCATGCACAGAACTAATCTTGGGAAAACCTAGAAACGAACTTGAAGTAACCAAATTTCACCGTCAATTTACTCTTGGGGGACACTGCTTTGCTTGCTTTTGATCACGCGAAAGAACAAATCACTCGTGGAAAAATTCAATCGAAATACCTATCGTAATGGAAGGTTGGATTTAAAGAGGGGGTGACTTAGAAATATCAAATAACCTTTTGAAAACGATGAATCATCCCGGATACTGGACGGAATGAAAATACTCAAAATTCATACATACTTGGATGAGCAATAAGATTCTTATTTTATAAATGTCTGATCATTTGGATCATTTTGATCATTTTGGAACAAAAGTGATTCAATTTATAAATTATTAACTATATCCTCACTTAAGAACGGGTTTGAACCAGTCCATTGTCGTATTGTTAGAACAGGTACACCGGTGCCTCAGATAACTTCATTTAATGAAACGTACCTTCATATTACAAATGGAAATAATACGTAAAGAGAGCGAACTTTACCAAAAACCGTGATGCGAATGAAAAGTCAATTGTTGGTGCTTGTTTTCCAATAAAATAACTCCATTTGAATTTTCTAAGATAAAACCTGATGTTGGAGGAACAACCATTTGCTGCCTGAAGATCAACAAACCGAGGACAAAATATGTGACGTTTAGCTAATCATCTAAACCTGCTGTCCAAATTGAGATCTTGAAATCTAGTCTGTTTGTTCCCGGCAAAATAGAATATCCGTTACAACAACTCCTGTTTATGTTTTAGCATTTAGCGTTTGAAAAAGCAATAATGAAACAAATACTTGCTATTCGCAATTAGTCAGTCACAAAGTCTGCCTTATAATCTTCGTAGACAGAAGTCAACCATAAAGCTCACTTTTACGGACTATTTATATTGTTTTGCTTTCTTTTCTATTTAAGATGTGAACTCAGCACACTTGACCGATACTAGCCCGGTAGATTTACTACACGAGAGATCTCTGACAGCCGATCACAATTTCCAAACGCCTGAACGAGCAAAAGATACCGGACAGTCGTCACTATCACCATCAGAGTATATAGAACATATGGAACCCAACAGAACACTTGTCAAACCGTTGAATCAGAGAATCCCATTCACTGTAGAGAAGAGTTCTCGTGGTACGTCAAATGTAGTCTTCCCTTTGCAATTGTTTTTGTGATATTAAATGGATGTTCTTGTGATGTCGAATAATAAACGTTTGTTGCCTCAAAACATTTACAAGATCTGTAGTGCCTATCATACACATTAGTGATGGTGGGAGCTGAGCGTGGGCATAAGGCAATAAGCAATTTAGACAAAGAAAACTTTTAATTCAGGCGGTCAATGTTTAGATTAGCCCATTCGGTTGTTTACATACACCAAGCAATGCTGATGATATTGGTGTCTGTGAAAAACCAAATTCTATCTCAAATGATTGAGCCAGTCACGCAAGATGATGATGGTCGGCCACATAGCTAGGCGGTAAGGGTTGGAAGTCCCAAACCGAAGGTCCGCAGTTCGAGTCCTAAAACGGACACGAAACGTACGCACTGCTGAAACGCGCCAAGCAAGTCGAACTAGCTATTCAATGCTCTTTGTCGGTAATCAGAAGTATATACATTACAATTACACGTTGAAAACTTAGAACATTTTGGGAAAGGGCGGAAGTTCTGTGAATTATGTAGTCCTCCTACTGACAAGACACTGAATAAGTGATACAGAACAAGTGGTAAGCCAATGAGTGAAGTTTTTCAACGATTTCGGTGTTTGTCAACCGAGCCAAGAATTGATCAATCAATTATTCAACTACAAACAAAACGATCAATCAAAAACTCATAAAGCGGGCATCACAATGAACAAACGTGCGTCTGTTGAAGTTTCATATGTACGGCTTTATAAAATGTTTTCAAAAATCAGTATTACGATGAAATTAATGAAATATTGGTGCTAATAGTTACAACTAATCTTATGGTGTACTTTTTATGATCTGAATTAAATGTTATAAATATCAGAATCCACTTTGGATGGCCTGTAGGTTGGTCTGGGGAGAATAATTTTGTTCTGTTTGTAGTTTCCGAATATTTCAAACCCTTGGTTTGTATCCACATGGGAAGCTTTGAATTTGTTTACCTTCTTCATAGTCCGTGCCTCGTGTTGGATTGTTTCTTCTCTACCCGAATTTGTGCATGAATTTTGGTCTAACGAAATGCACGGGACTCTCCCGTCCCCTTGAGCAAGCAAGCAGATAAAATACACGGAAAACACGTTAAAAATGTATTATCTGACTTACCCTCCCCCCGGCACTAACCCAACTTTCAATTCCTTGTCGCAGATTTCCAGGTGAACTGCTACGATGTGTATCGCACGTGTGTACTGGATCCGACCTGTTTACTTCACTACTTTCGTTTGGCACGACTTTGCTTCGTGCGAAATGGATGTCAGTTGCCCACCGCTTGCACGGAGAGTCTGCGCGGCTTCTACAGCGTTGTTCTCCCGGATCTGACAAATCAGGCCCTCGGTTGTTTCTGTCGCAACCCGGATCTGGAGTGCAAACAACAAATGAACCTTTTCAAACCGGAATGTGCAATCACTGATCCGAGCGATTTACGATCATGTAACGACGTTTTACAACGTTGCCAAGAGGACAAAAACTGCAAGTGCGTTGCTTCTCTATTTGTCTTCTGTGTTTACACTAGTCAACAGTTTGTGAAATAAGACATACGAGTGTGTTGGTTTGTATATAGGAGTTCCACATCAAACAGAGAACCCACCACCTCTCCGTTTGCTTTGGAAATGCCGACAGAATCAGTTGACTGGTGTACCGCGCTAAAAGATTTAGTTTTCCTCGTGTGTATATGTATTATATTCTTTCTTATTTGTTATCAATCAAACTGCCACACACGTTTCCTATTGTACAGACATTTTTCCCTGTTGGGATTGTGCGCTGGACACCATTTCACTTTCTTTGTAACTTGATTCTTCTCCTGCAAATGCTGTTTTGACACAATGAAATTTCTTCCGTCTAAATGTAGAAGCCATTAAGCATTGAAATAAGTTGGTGTAAACGCACAGTTTACACATCTACTGAATCAGTTTTACGATGCTTCGATAGGAACTCTCTAAAACGTGGGACAGAAACTCTTCTTTGGAGTTTCCGCAGCTTGTGCACTTAACCCAAAACAACTTTCAAACAAAATCCTCGTCTGCCAGTATCTTATAATGGAATAGGACAACTCGTCATCACGTGAAACATGAGACTTCGTAAATGACTGAATTGGTTTCTTTGAGATTAATTGCATGCTTGGACGCGCTTTGTATCGAGATACATTTTGAGGTTGATCGAAGTTACGTATAATGTACCACAGCACCGACAAATTCATTCCCAAAATGTACCACAGAAATGACTGAGAAATCACGGGAAAAATTCCATTGTGTTCCTAATGTATCACATTTGAGGCGACAAGTGCACTGCGCAAATACAGGCGAGTCCTATTAAGCCCCTAACTTGACCCACCATTGATTACGAAAAGCTGCACGATCTGAATTGTGGCCAAACCGTGGCGGTTGCAAACACTATCTGTCAACCCGCAGTAGCTCCAGCATCAGTCGCGGAATTGAGTATGATGGTGCAGCACATCAGACAAAAGATATCTTTACTAATATGCGTGTATGTATCTTTTATTAGCCGAATACCAATAAAATATACATTTTCCCGATTCTTATGAGAGTTGCTGTGTACATCTTTGAGGCAAAAATGTCACACAACTACAAGGTTCAATAGCGTGGCTCATTCACGAGACACTATTTTGTCATTTTTCATTGAGACATTAGCAGTGAGAAATCAAAGAAAGCTTTTAAATTCTGGAACCTCAAGCTTATTCTGGAATTTCCCTCAAAACCAAGCAAAAGGAAAGACTTTTCAATAAGCTCTAAGGGTGAGGTAGAGTTCAAGTGGTCGTGAAATTGATACAAAATCATTTTCATCGTTTCACATTGAAGTAACTAAAATGTAGTCAACCTCAGTAATAGTATGATCAGTTCGTATGTGGTCTAGTCATCATTGAATTAAAAAGCTAGCGCCTCACAGGATGATGATATTATTCCCAGTTGTGAAATAGTTGTTACTGAGCAACATTGAACTGCTGCACATGATTAGGTATTTCTGTTAAATTTTGTTCACGGGTGAGTAAAGTTATTATTGTTTAGACTTTTTCAAGGATGATCGTCGGAGTTCCAAGCCGTTTCTCCGAATCCGTAATGTTACAGTCGTTCAAGGTACCGAGGTGGCTACTTGAGAAAAATGTTTAGCAAATCGTTCACAATAAATCAACGTATAGCTGGTATACATACGCCTGCTGGCTGTACCCGTACGTATGCACGGTTGTGCGTCATTCTTTTATGTCATGCTTGAGTTGGTTTGTATCAACCGCGTCATTACGGTTCATTAGGATGTACAACACTTTTAGACTTCTTGCAGAGGCCAATAATATCTATTTTTGTTCAGAATAATGCACACCAGAATACAATTTATTCTCAGTCGAAATCCTTTGAAATTGGAGAACACAGAGACATTTTTGTTATTTATTCGTTACAAAACGTACTCGATGGCCATGTTGATGAATTTGCATAACCTATGGTGTAATAAGTGATCGATTGTTCGTGATATAGGCTCCAACTGTATACCGTGTTAGCAAACTTACTATGTTTTAACAGCACTGGGAATTCATTTGTTTCAGTAAAACATTTATTTGTTATATGTAGTTTAATAATGTTAGTCAGCGCATTAATAATTCAAGCTACTTATATTGTTTTGTTTATTCACCTTACCAGTAGTAAGTAGTTCGTTAATATTAACAAAAACTTCTGCTGCAAAGAGTGTATAAGCTGTGATAGACTATTTTTATTGGGATGGCATCTACCCACATTACAGGTATCGAACTCGTTTGAGTACTTATCACTGTTTAATGCTCACTGTAATTTGCTTCTTAATTTCAAATAAACTACTTTCAAATACTTCCAAAACTTACCCGTAGCTTTTGGAAACCTATTCTTCCAAAGCCAAACAGCTATTGCTGTTGTGTAATGCCAAAGTTATACTCGGGACTATCAATAATGAGAATTCTGTCTCTTCTTGCAATGCTATTTATTTTGGTGCTTTCAGAAACTAACCATCCATTCACTGCTGAACACGTGTCCCTATTAACCCGTCAAATGGGTGAAAAGATCAATGTCTGACGTTATATGTCTGCAAAATCAACTCCAAATGCCATACGCTTCGTTAGATTCGCAGTCCGCAGTCGATACCTCTTCTAAATATAAAAAAACATGATACTGACGGAAGAAGAAATGTCATTCAAAAATATCCAAATTTCTAACCATAAATCTTACGTATTCTTTCCTTTGCAATAAGATACGTTCACTTTTAAAAGGCTAACTACAAGCGTTTCCCTACAAACGTTACACAAGTGGATTCCAGTCAGTTGAATAATTTCACCCGCATCGTCCAACAATCAAACATATAATGCAATATATTGAATGGTTTTTCTGATGATTTTTCACAAATGTTCGATTGTTTTAAACAAGAAATGTATTTTTGAAACCATCACAACTATGCAAATTCTGAACGCATTGGATAGTTCTTTGTTTATATATTCTTCAAGTACGATGTTTGCGTATCCATTCAATAAGGGCACAACTTGAAAATCAAAAGAAATACTTTACAACTGGTGCTTCTCTAATCCCCGACTATGCATAAACAGATAAATCAAGTGATTGATTACCCCCTGAAGGTTTGTGAATTATAAGCTTGGAAGGAACAGTTGTTGGCACAAACACGATGTGAACCTGTGTGGATTTTAAAGTATGGAGCACAAAGTGACAAAGATTTATTTTAGGCTGCAACGTCTATACTTTATATAAACAGAAATATTCTTTGTTCGAAACCCAGGAGGATGATTTACTTTACACGTGGGTCTTCAAGCAGCACATGCAGAGAACCAAATTTTATTGTCCCACGTATTCACATTCGTACAGACGAACGAGCATCTTCTATTCAAGCAGTCATAGTTTGACAATTGTGCGCTTGTCTAAATGAGGTTTTTTAAAACTGAGAATGATTGTGTTTAGTGAATAGCGATGCATTTCTCACTTTAAAGAATTTGGATCGGTAATAAAGTGAAAAATTCATTGTTGTTGACTGTGATTAATATGGGGCAGGTGTTCCATATGGCGCACCGACCCTGTTAGAGACAAAAAACCAAACGCTACCTCAACCTAATGATGTCCTCTTATGTTTTGAGAGGCATGGAGAGATGAATCACAATCGAGAAACGTATAAACAACTGGCAGTATGGAATCAGAGGAAAGGGGTCGGGGTGGAGTTGAGAATGAGTAGTGACATCTGGTAATTCGCGGTGCATCAGTGACAAGATCGGACAGAAAGTTAGGCACATAAATCATTTGCTAAATGCCTCAAATCGAGAGCTATCATTATTTTTGTTATGCTCTCATCCCCATTGCGTGTTTCGTATCTTTCTTTCACCTTACAGTACCGCTCTCTCGTTCCTAATTAATCAATGCCATCCGCAGTCGAAAGTGTGCCAGGAGAATTCAACGTTATGCCTTAACGCTTATCGTCAAGTGTGGCTACAGAGCATAGTCACGCAATGTCGCTGTGATACGAGCAACCTGAGTTTCTATCACACGGGGACTGCCGAGCATAAAAGTTCCAGCTATCGGTGTGAATCATTTCAACGTATGTTGCTTCATCCACCATGCAGAGGTGAGTTGACTCTGGTTGAATTTGCATGACGGACGAAAGTAGTTAAACAAATGTGCGTAAAATGCAGGGAGTCGGTTTGATTACTAACAAATCCCGGTGTATAGAACAGATCAAAAATCAGACCCAAACCTTCCCTGCAAATTTTCTCATTCAATGATAATGACCAGATCGAAAAGATCAAGCCATGCAAATAAACCGTGAATAGTTTACAGTAAACACTGAGAGCCGTCCTAAATCACAGAAAAGCTAGGGGTTAATTCAAATTCGGTCATATCTTCAAATGACGCATATCTCCCTCTCAGTAATCGCGTGAAATTGATCAGGATCGGGAAAAGCTAGAAACTCTGCTGCTTTTGGACTTTGTACTTAACTCCCTGGTATTCAGATTAATTTAGAAAATTTTACTGAAGCTATTTTGCCGAAACATGTTCCGTGGCACTGATTGTTCTCAACAGAGTAATTACTTATCCAGTTATCCTTGCATGATAAAATTCAAGACTGGGTGAAACAGCTCAACGTTTGTGATTCTGCATTCATTTTTTTATTCGTAGACCGCCAAGCAAATCCTGATGTGTTATCCGCGAATAAAGATGTCGAGGAACTATCACGTAAGTTTTCATGTTTAAAATTGCAGTATGAATGAACATGCACAGTATATGTATCCAAAACTTGCAAACATCCTCCTCTACTAAATGCTCTCCAAAGAGGTTCCAATAAGAGATAGTCGAAAATTAAAATAGACCCTGGGGCGGTCACTGAACAGAAAAGTCTTGCAAATTAGGTAAACCTGCCCATCACAATTTAATCTGAAATATAAGAGACGTTCTAAAAACTAACCCGGCTTTTTAGCCGGCCCTTATTATCTCATCACATTTTCAGCAAAGATCAGACCATTTTGTTATTGTGTGTTACAGAGTAGTTACGGCAATCACCCAACATATAAAAAGCGGTAGATTCGGGAGTAAATAAGCATCAATTGAAATATGCTAAAATGACTTGCCTTACAAGTTAAAACTGTGATGAACAAGAAGGGGAAAGCTGAATAAAACCATTGACCTGAACCAGGGAAGCAATTGAAACCAAAGGAAAGTAAACGAAAACGGTTTCGAAGAATTCAATTTGCTCTAGTAGCATTTTCGTTGGTTGTGAGACAATATTGGACGACACAGATGGAGAGCTGTTGAATGAAGTTGAAAAAGGTAGAAGAGTTTTCTTTGGGTTATTTCGTCTGCTGAATTCAATTAACTAACTTCAAGGGCGACAAAGTGCGAAAAATTTAGGGTTCTAAGCTGGCACAATTAACAATGATCCAATAGGAAAACAGGCCTTCCGGTTTGGGAAAGATGTCAGGGAAAATGCAACATTCGTTCGCTAAGAAACTGTGAGAGCGTTGAAAGTTATTCTGTTCCCTTCACTTCTACTCAGTCAAAAGACTGATTGGTTTATTACTTCAAAATTTATGATACAACTTACGTTTATCAAAATTTGACAGCATCGCCATCAATTGCTTTTATCCCCGAGGGTTATAATTAACAGAAATACTTTATTGTCGAGCAACAAGTGAACAGCAAAACGGCATTAAACGATATTCGTTCCAATTTTTGTCATTTTACGACCAGGATGTGTACACATGGGGAGATTACACTACACTCAGTAATTGGTAGGTAATTTTTGAATCCTGTCGGATACGTTTGCTAGTGGTCATTGCAGTTGAGTATAGATTGTTATTAACCCCAATATTCATCATCGTTTTATTTTTAGTTCAATCTAAAACAAACATTTCTTGTGATTTTTCAATCCAGAAATTCTACAATGCCTAATTTGTTTTCTTGGTTTGTTTGAAGTCGCCTAATTAGGCTTGGTTTATTTTTACTGCCTTCGGATTGCTAGCTCATACTGCTTATTTAACTGCCATCGACTGACAAACAACGCTTTCCTCCTACTATCATTGCATTTTAACGGTCATTACCAATTTTGCTCATTCTTCACTTTTTCTACCGCAAAGCAGGTTACATAAAAACTGTTTAGGTAACCATATCATCTCTCGGTTTTACCTGCACTCTCAATGCATCGAACGCACTTCAGCAAGAAGCAGCTACTTGGCAACAGGATGTTATGAAATAAATATCACGACAGCATCGGTAGCATCAGATACAAGAATACAATGTATTTTTTTTCGAAAATATCACTTTAGTTTCAAATCGATCAAACAAATTTACCATATCGCTTGAGTTTATTTTAGTCCCGAGTTACACAGAAAAATGGATAAACTTAAGAACGCTTAACTTGTAAAGCGTCAGAAATTTATTCTTTCAAGGCTGGATTCAGTAAACTGAATTTCTGAGATAAACTTAAAAGGGCGGGGAAGAAAATTTGGTACGTTATCAACATTAAGAGCTTTCACTCCGCATTAAGCTTTCAATGATATTTCCGTGATGAATCACTCACATTCACTTGTGATGAATTCATGGAAGCCCCTTCTTTGATCTAGACGATGCATATGTTTTCAGTTGCTCCAAATATCTCTCAGTTAACGTCTCCGATAAACAAGATGCCATTAGAACATTGGATTCTGGGAATCCAACTCATTCGAGTTTTTGCGAGATACTATAATGACAATGATTTTCTGCCCTCATGGAAAAACGGTGACTAATAGGGAGGGTAATATTGCAAATGAGCACCGGGTTTACCCAGCAGATACTAGCAATTCCAGTAGAGATGGGGAGCTCAGGGTTTGGATATCCCCAAGTTGAGAAAAATCTGTAGTTTTCGTTAGCTTTGTATACTTTTGAGCATCGCCTCACAAAATCCCGAACGATCGGGATTGCAATTATGCCAAACGACTGTAAAAAGCTGAGTTACATCAACCTAGAGGGTTTTCGTCATTAAAAGCATTATATTTGTCGATTTCAGTGTTCTCAGATCTGCATATGTCATTTGGACCTTTAGCATCATTCAGTTTAAAAATCGTATGTGGTATCTGAGCTCCATCTTGCTCAAGATGACAATGTCGTAGCAATGAATGAATGTACGGATAATCCGTGAGATGTTCAGATCTGTGATAGCTCTCGAGCAGCGAGGTAAACTGAAATCTCCGGTGATGTGCTCTTTACGCAACTGAGATCTTACATATGTTCGGGTCAAGGGCTATTATTATTATTCTAATTCAAAAACCGTTGCAACTCAATTATAGAGGCATGGTAATATGACTGGTTACTTTTCTGCGAAAGAGAATGGGTCCGGCACCGTTTCTTTTTAAGACGGGGCACTTTTGTGTTCAGTTAATTTATGGGTGATATCTTTGAGTAAAGTCGATATGATGATGTATTTTTCTTTCTGGTCGGCCGTCCAAATTGTATGTGATCCATGAGAGAGGAAATCCGTGATTTCATCCGAAAGATTTGTAAACTGTACCCACAAATCAGGAAGTTTCACACTGAATTTTGTTTGGTTTCTGTTATCACGTAATTTTCTGGATAGATGTTCAGGCTGGTACCTGACAATATACAGATGAGCCAATTTGTCTCCCCTATTTCTTTATTGAGAAATATTGTAATTTCTAACTTTCCCCAAACAATTTCCGCGTCCACCAAAATCAAATTAATGATGCCAGACAATGAGGTTGTTGACAGTACGAATGCAATAAATAAATCATATCATACGTCCTCTGGATCAGAGAAGTGTGTATCAAGAACAGACATAGACCTATTCAGTACTCACTTGATGGAATTCATTTTTTCTCTGACTTGGTCGGGTTTTATCGGTCACGGTCCGTTGCTGGAACTATTCATTGCACCTCGAAAACATGAAAATATACACAAATGAACAGAGGAGCATTATTATTATTATTAGGTATTATTATCATTGCAAAAATGAGAAAATACGGAGAAATCTATCAAAATTAGACAATTTCAGTGGGTTCTGCTCTCCAAAGATCTACAAGTGTTAATCAAAAGCAACACTTTTTTAGTACAAGCGTTTGTTTCACATTCTATTCGGTACCCTGTTGGACCTGCGAAATATCCATGGCTGTTTATTTGGTTGAGCAGAATGTGTGATGGTCTTGGAAGTGGACAACGAAACATTTTCTGGTTAATATTCTACAATATTTTTGTGATATCGTTAAAATTGAATGATTGTCGAGAGGAGCAAGTTTCCGAAAAATCCTATGGCTCTTTCATCATGCTAAAACCCCAAAGTCATATTTAAAAAGTAAAACGATTCTGTTTTTGCTCACGCGAAATGGAACAGTTAGGAGAATAAAACAGTTTATTTTCTTCTTTAGCCGTACAGTGCACTCTAAAAATTGTGCTACCTGTGTTGAATAAGAATAAATAAGGATAACAAACATTTTTATTGAGGGATGGGCTTTTCAAATTTTCCGTGTTTTTCTTACTCAGGGTTGTTATTACAAAGATTTGCTATTGCTTTCACAAAAGACGATCGATCTATTCAGCGGGATTGTTTTTCAAAATGCATCATTAACGATGCCTTTGTTCAGTAGAAACGTTTTTCAATGCACACAGAATAAGCCCTCTTACGAAAGCAGAAATGTCAGTTCAAACGTGTTTTTGAATCAGAGCTATATTTTGCAGTCAAACAGTTAAGTTAATTTGTGTGAAAAAGAACAGAATAATTAGTGAGTATTCAGTGAATTCTTTTGATCTACCAAAAGTAAATCAAGAAAAAGAAACCTTTTGCAATTTTAGATTATTCGGTAAATTTATTCAGACTTTCCGTTGTTTGTCAGACATACCGAAATGCAATTTCGGAAAACGGTTTATTTGAATTATAACAAAAGGTGGATTTGGATAGCTGAGCTGGTAATGGAGCGTTGACTGCGTGCTAAATCCATATTGATCTCACCGAAAGCGAATCTAGAATTCCTGATGCACGTTTTGATTGATTGGTTGTTTGACTAATTGAATGACGTATCTATTGTCAACAAAAAACAGTTTTTGAATAATTTATGAATTCTTCCTTTTGACAAAAGCAGTATCTTATGACAGTTAATATTTGTTCCTGCTGCTTATGCTAAAAAAGGAATCCACATTTACGAGTTATTACTTTGAACTGTGTTTATTTTTACTTCTAAATGCCGTTACTTTAATAATGCTGCACAATTCGTTGAGAAAATAAGAAATGACTGTTTTAGGAACAGATGAACCTGAGAAACTGCGTATATAGCAGCTTCAAACAGAATGTAAATTTCAATAGAAATAACTCTTTTGAAAATAAAAACCTGAATGTGAATATTCGCCTCTGTCCACCTCAATTTGTCAAGGAGTTTCATTGAGGGAAGTAGACGCTTGAGGTGTTGTTTAGGTTCTTCACTGCCCCACATTCCACACTGCTAAAAGAGCTTACTCATAAACACGAGTGTGCAAAACCTAAACTATGAATTGCCCCTAAACAGCTTTGAAAGTTGTTGGTTCACTAAGGAACTGTTTCAGAACGGGTTCTCATCACGAAAATGCCAGTTATAATCGTTTGAGGCTTTTTCTTGAGCACGGGAGAAACTTAAGCATTACCTTTCCTCAAATGGCCTTATAATTGCATTGGTCCAATCAAAGGGTCAAACGAAAGCGATTTCTGGACAATAAATTGTCAAACCGTGGGACTGGTTTACTTACTAATTGAGCCGTATCTATATTGGTTTGCTCAACAACACCTAGATTGTAAACATTAAACCCGGCTGATGATTAGACATTCGTTTTTATCGGGAAAACCACTGATTTTTTCATCTCGGGCAATGTTTTGAAAAGTTTCCGAATGACTATTTGCGCATCCCGTTCAACCGTGGGAAGTTGAGCACATTTGTACCCACTATCCTCATTCGTACGCATACACACACTCCCTGCTCGATTCCAGCCGCCTGCCGAATCGCAAACACACTTTACCTGTCGCCGGAAACTATTGTTCGTGTGTACCCCAAAACGGAAGATATGAATCACTCGCCTGATTCACAAATCTGTTCGCAATTGTGCGGTTGCACTACCGGTTGTCTGCATCATTTGTGCTTCCCAGAACAACATCAGCAGCAGCAAAATTTTCTGTCGTTACAACAACAGCAACAATCGCAGTCGCTGAACCAACCTCAAACGGACCATCTGAATTCCTATCTCGGGCGCCTGTCACCCGGACAAGAACGAACAACAGGAACAACAACAACAATCACTACCACGACCATATCGACAACAACGACCCGGATCACTCCGTACTCAGTATGTCATTATTTGCCCCTAGCTGATCCACAATGTGCCTGCCTCGCGGATGGAGACGTTTATTGTACGAGGAATACGAATTATGCACGCCTACTTAAAAGTAAGCTAGACCCGTTCTTTTGTGATCAGAAAATAATCGTATGCTTTTCTAAATGGGTTCAAGCGATCTTATCTTTTTGATTCGTTAGGACACTGTCGACTATCGATAGAGTGGTTGATGGCAAAGTAATTGAGTAGGTGTTGGTTCCGCAGGTTACGAGTTTATCTCCTAGTCATGGATATAGAAGTATGAAAAGGGATCAGGGTGAAGTAGTACTAGTTCAAACTTCCCTTGTAGTCTCCGTTCATTTTAACCGAACTACTTCACTGATTGATCCGCTCATAAAACAATTTGCTGCCACCTACTACACAGAGGACAACTTTCTTCTTGATGCAGTTGCAACGAACATTATATATATGCATATAACGAAAGATAAATCATGGCTTAGGGACACTGTTCCTTTAATATTTAGGGCGCATGCATTGCACCGTTTTTGAACACTACTCAAGTAACCCCTGCAACCAAACAGCCACATGGAATTGATTTGGGCTGACTCTAGAAGGGAGCTTAAGGCATTTGGCCTGCAGATCCTATGATAATTCTTGTTATATCAATGAATAAACAAAGAAATCCTTATTTTTTGTTCTGAAGTCAATTGACTGATAAGAAACCACTCGTCACTTAGAAACACGTGATGCAATTTCAATACACAGTTAGATCATCGGGTGTGTAACGTCTTCTCATATCCTGTGCCATCTAATTTAAAAGGCTGGTGAATATTGACCACGCAACTTAGTCGCTTATAACGGGGATGCCCTGTGTCCGTGTCCAAGTTTAGTTGTCCTATAGTCTTGGCGTTGGCAGGTAAAGAGAGGCAGCCGATATGAATTGGCTGGTTTCAGTCCTGTCCCATAGGATGTTTCTGGGCCGCGTCCTATGAACAGCATATTGAAAATTAGTTCTCTTCTTCAACAGTCACTGCAAATGACTCAACAGAACTTTTGTATTTTATGAAGTTTTCCGTAAAATCGAAATGTGAAAATGTTTTGTGGCTTATGATCATACAATAATGAAAATAGAGAAATGTTTTTAGTATATATTTCCTAAAATTGTTCGATTCTATCACATACTCGATATACAGTGGATAAAATATTTCAGGGATCCGGTAGGGATTAGTCCAACTTCGGCTTTGAATAAATAGAAATGATGAAAATCGACGGTGAGATTCAACCAAAAAACCCTGGTATAACGGGATAGTCACTAGATCACCACCATCAGTTTATCTTTTCAAATTCTGAACAGATCATTCAGCGAGCAAATTTTCACATGATTGCATTTATGTTGTTTGA